TTTCAGATATCACCAAATGTAATTAGTTTGCCTTTGACCAAATTCTCAATTCCAATATATACTAGTACATGATAATATTGTATAGTGAAGTACATCAGACCGCTAAAGGCGTGACAATAGACCACTAAAGGGGGTATCTGTTATAAAAATCAGAAGCAGTCTTTAAGTTGAAACAGTCCAGTGTACTATGACAGAAAGACACATTGACAAAAATCCCAATCAGTCCCATATGGAGACTGTAGGTGAAGTGACTGTACCTGAGATTCCACCAGACCCAGAGAAGCAGGAGCACAACTCCTTATCAGTTTGAGTGAGATGGCTGCTCTGCCAAATCTGCTCTGGAAACACTTAAAGTCTGCTTGGGCAAGTCACTCCCTGACAGAGATGAATCACTAATATTGTGTTGTTTCTTATTTAGACTATAGAAATTGCATTGCACATGCATTCTTACACATAATTTTGGCATGCATTGCCAAAATGTTTGGTGGGAGTGCTGTACACACAGGAGTTTTTCCAATCTAGGTGTTTACCAGTATTCCAAACTAGAGCCCGACCGATATGGATTTTGTTGTGACCGATATGAAACCGATATAATGGGGGTTGAAGCTGCCGATAGCCGATATAATCGCCGATATATTTAGTGATGTAAAAATTCACTGTAAATCTTGAATTGATTAAAAAACTTAGGTTTGGCTCTAGTGAATTCTAAATTGGGTTTATTTAGGCAACATTTATTGTTATTTTGACTCTTTACATCATATTTACATACAGTAGATTGGCCTAATGGTGATTTTTGCAGCTACTGTTACTGTCACTGCTAGTGATGGGTATTCCAGTTTTTTTGGGGTTTTTTTTTTGGAGAACCGGCTCGGCTCACTAAAGCAGCTGGCTCTTTCCAAGCGACTCTTGAGATTGTTTTGTTGCAAGCAGGACTAAACCAGAACTGAACCAGGACTGAGTGTCGGGACTCGGTTTCTATCTCTTTCCTTCACTCGAGCCCAAGATTAGTCCTGGTTTATTCATTTTATGCTGAACTGCAGCCAAATATGCACTTTTTTATCCTGTGCACACGCAGATTTCTGAAAGTTTCGTTTTCAGCCGCTGCTGCTGCTGTCAAACTACGGTCTACATGCGGCATAAAGAGAAAAAGTGAGAAAAAGAGAAAACACGGCTCCCGTTGTTCGCTCAAAGAGCCGCTTCGATCGCGACCGACCCATAACTCCTAGCTAGTAAACTATCGCTATTAGCCTTTAGCCATAAATGCTGCGCACTGCTGTAATTAATTATATGCATAAATGTGGATCATTCACACGTCTATTCACAGCTCATTTACATATCAATGCAGGTCCAGTAACAAATATACGGCCAATGTAAACACTTTACAATAGACCAATAGAAAACAGCCTGTTTATGTGCGGGAGCTACAGCAGCTAACCGCTAACAAAACCTAAACTAGCTTCAAAGTCGATGTATTTCCAACACTCACCGCTCACACAGGCTCCTCCTCACATCACAAGTCTGCACTGATAAATGTCCTTTTAATCCAGACTCAAACCGATTGTCCGAAAAAGAATATAATCTCAGTGTTGCGCACTGCTGCAGGTGTAAACAAACACACGTGAGTGAAGTGACTCACTCAGGTGGTGTGTTCAGGGACAGTACGGGCACAGACAAATTACACCGCAGATAAATACTGATGCGGAGCCACATATTAGGACATTTATCTGTCTGTAAATTGGATTAAATGAACAGAATGTAGAGAGTCTAAGCTTTATAACGAGGTATAACATGCTCATGTGAAATATCGGCCCATATCAGCAAGCATATCGGCCGATAGCCGATATGTCTCCAGTTGCCCATATTGGCCGATAATATCGGCCAGCCGATATATCGGTCGGGCTCTATTCCAAACATTCACCTTAATTATAATTAAATCACAATTTCCGATTTCTTTTTTTTTTTTTGGAATTCAGTGCTTTTTGGGATGAATAATTATCTGGGTAGTGTGGTTGGTAATGTTTTTTGTTTTTATTTGTAAGTGTAATTGTCAGAATGTGTTAAATCATTCAGGTTTTCTTTTTTTCTTTTTTTTTTTTGTATAGGTTACTAGGTTATTGGGTCTAATTTTACTCAAATATACTCCTTTCAATACAGAAACACATTAAAGTGTTAAGTTTTTTAATTATTTCTTGAAATCATCTTGCAGTATCCAGCTTAGTGCCCCCAATTTAGGTTAGGTTGACTGAAGAAGTCTCTAAAATACCTTTGCAAGTAATAGATAAATCATATTTGGTTCATTAAGCAATAAGAAATGTATTGTCCTAATTTGAAATATATTTAGTATTTATCTAATTGTTTGAGTGTCCACGTAAAAACCTTGTATGTACTGTGGGACACTTCATAATGTGGTTCTGCTGTCCCTTTGCTGTTGTATCCTGGAGGCTGTGGTCCTCCCTGCAGTCTCCTCAGGCTCATGACCAGGAGTGGTGCTGAAAGACACACAAGTGGGAGCTGGAGGGAAGGTGCTCCCATTTCAACACTCCCATCTCTGTCCTCGGAGCAGCGGAGAAGCCACGATGCTCTATGCAGTGGCTGTATTGTCTTCACTATGATGCATGGCTCTGTTGATATGCTGGCCATCTTTACATGAAGCAGAAGAGTTCTTATCTGATTGAGAGTCCAGCTTCTTCCAGATGTAGTTTTGCAACTATCCCACAATGCCATACATTTACATATGTGTAAAACTGAGAAAAGAAAAACTATTAAATTTATTAAAGAGCATGAGCTATAATAGTGTTTGCATCTGGTTGGCAGTTTCCCATCTGAAGAATCAAAACACTGTCAGAGGATGAAACAACACTACCAGCTTACTACACCCTTAAATACAGTTTTCAGTAAACCTGTAATTCTGTGAAACAGATGTTTGTGAGTCCAGCATGAGATGGATTGATTCTTTGAAGACCCTCGGTGTTGGAGGTGCTCATCCATCTGTAGTGATGTGTGTTTCAGTACATCTTAATAAAGTAATCCCCTCCCTCATTTTTCTGAGCCTTGGAATGCTCTTGTTCTTGCACTTTTCTCTTTGTCCTGTGGGGCACCACTTTGATTTGTTTAGGTTTCAGATGTAGGGTTGACTAAGGCCATGACTCATCATTAGTCTGAGATGACTTGTTTTAATTTTCTCTCTGTCTGCTGAAAGAACAATGATACAGAAATCTTACCAATTGATAGTTTGGTTGATTAGATTTTCTGGTAGTCCACATGTTTGTGCTTATGTGCGTATGTGGAGTAGTTCAATTAAATATATAAAATGAATGGTCTTCTTTGTGTGGGTTTTCATCATAATCCAAATAAATCAGCAGTACCAGCATAGGGTTCCATCTGTCATTTGGGCTTTCCAGTCATTAGAAAGCCATTAATTTTGTTTAGACATATCACAAGACTTTCATCTGCAGGCTATGATAACTGCATCGCTGGCCAAAGGTTCTAACGTGTGCCTTTGAAATGCTGACCTGTTCTTTAAATGTTTAAAGAGCTGGTTGCATCAGCGGCCTTTGCCCACCCGGACATGTTTGGGTGAGTGGGGGCTGTCGGGAGGGCTGTTGTGATACATCATGTGTTTAAGCTGTGGATGGAGGGAGGCGGAGGTTGGACAGGGTTAATGACTGGCTCCTTCTCTATAGCTATGGCCTGGGCTGGTCCACTCACAGGATAAGACTGGCGGTGTGGGGGCATCCAGAGCACAGGGGTCACATTGCTCACATCAAAGGAGCCATGAGGCTAGCTCAGTCAGCTGGGCTTTCGACCGGCAAGGCACAGGAGAGGTGCATTGTTTTTTGCAGTGTTTTTTTATTAACTTATAACTATATTAACTAAGAAAACATTTATTTCACAATCATGGGCAAATTGCTACAGTGCCAAAGCACCAGACAGGAGAGCTTTTAGTGCCACCCCTGTTGAACCTTCTAGTTATGACTATTGCTGCCTTTCGCAACTATTCAGTGGATTATGTCCACATCTAGTTTTTGTCAAAATATTTAAAAAATAAATGTATATTACATTTATTCATGAAAATATTAAGAGTATCTGTGTTTACTCTTTTGTTAATTAAATTGTGCGTGTGTTAATATAGTCACCAATTAAAGAATTTTCAGGCTTACATTAATCTTTGAATCTTTACATTTATTGTATGATTTCAGATTTTTATGAGTTTATTTACACACTGAGTTTTACAATGCATTTTGAGCTTGTTTTATTTTCCCATGTTCTTGAGTATGAAAGCTGTCATAAAAAAGTTATAACCACTTCCAACATGCAAAAGCAACCCTTTTTACACCCTTGAAAAATAAATATTATTGACAAAACTATTTTTGATTAAACCTCCAAAATTAAAAGAGCAAATGCCTTTAAAATGTGTGCTTTCACAGATACCAACTGACCTTATACATGTACTTCATGTTATTGAATGTAAGGCTAACCACTGTGAGAAATACATGATTAGCAGCTTTCCATCATTGGATGTTCATGTCATAAAACCTCTGAGAGAACTTAATTGTTATCTCACAAAAAGAGAACAATTCCAACAATGAAGATCCAGAACATGTTGCACATACCGCCGCAACAAACATCAACATATCTAACTATAAGTATAGCATTTTGAAGGCTACAAAGGAAGATAACTACAAAACCGAAGAGCTACTTTTACAAAAGGCATACATACACATTATTTACCCTCCATTTGCACAATAAAACAAATGGGTAGTTTATCTTAGCTTTTTTTTTTTATTTTACAGCAGCCTCACACCAATGTGTGAATAAATGCTCAGTCTGTCAATATTTATCTCCACTGTTTACAAAATGTCTTTCACTTAACGTTGTCCAGCTCATCTACAGTCCATAAGTGCAGATGTTGTTGCAGCAACCAAATTTGTATAAACCTATGGCTAAATAATGTTTGTATTTTATCTTTACAATGTTTTGAGTCACTGCAAAAAAGCCTTTTAGCTGTTGTCATTCCACTCTGGCATGATGCTGACACTGTGCACAGTGTGGTATTGGTGAGGAGATAGTGTGCGTGGTATGCTGTGGGGGTAAAGGTACTCGTTCCCCTGCAGACTAGCTGTTGGTGACTGGATCCCTGCTCCAGGGCTGCACTGGCGGGCCAGTGTCTGGTGGTGCATGGGGCTCTGGTACATAGCTGCATGGTGGCTATCCCCCAGCTGCCGAGATACAAGGGATCCTGAGGTGAAGTGGGCTGAGAAGTGCTGGTAAGGCAGCCGCTCCATGGGCTGCATAGCAGTGACCGAGCAGCTCCCATAAGGTGACACACTAGCCCACGTGTTACAGCTGATGTCCTCTAGACTAGGAACAGGCTCTCCCCCCTGTGGTACACCAGCATACATGCATGCCTGCCGCTGACTGGACTCACTGCGATATGGCCCCCCAGCCAAGCTCAGGCTTTGTGTGTAACCCACGGGTCTGTAGTAATGGTCATCCTCGCTTGAAGAGCTCTCTAAGTACGACTTCTTGTAGGTGTGTTCGCCTGAGTGACAGTCCTCCTCCACTGTAAAGACACATTGTACCATTACTACTGAGAAACAAAACTATAGTTATGATATACCTTTTATTCCTGTAAAGTAAAGTACCTTTCCTCTTGATGCAGTGATACTCCTGGCTGTGCTCATGTGGCAGAGGATAGGAGCCTGACTGAGGCAGCATGTCCTGAGAGGTGCTGGAGACTGCACTATCACACTGGGAGTACTGACTGCTGATGGGATTGGTCATGCTTTGAATCTCTCCACTAAAGGGACTTTGGCTAGAGCCAACTCTCTGACGCACAGTGCTGCGAGGTACAACTGGATACTCTTTGGTGCTAGAAACAGATTTAAAAATAATTTTACAAAACTGACACTTATACATTTTGATCAACTAATTTGTCAAAGGGTTGTCTTGTACAGCAGCCTCTAACATCTTAGTAAATCCTTTGGGGCTGATCCACCAATAAATTATGTTTTCTGTTTTTGATTTCAGAGATTGCTTTGGTTAAAATTGACCTGGTTTTGCATTGAGCTCTTCTTTTAACCAAGAGCAGACATGCATAGCTTACTGCGCTTAGCGGACTGGTCAATGGCATTTAAGATTGATGGTGTGGTTTGGACTTGTACCAAAGTCCATACATTTGCATTTGAGGTAAAAGGCAATTCTTTCAAAATGTCCTGTTATCTTGGACGATCCACCTACTTAAGGTAATTTGGTTTGTATCTGTTTGTTATAATCAAACTTTCAAAATTGTCACTATTTGAAGCCTCTTGTCAAATGAAAAGTTTTCCCTTGGAGTATAAATGGCATTCATTTAGAACACTTAATTACAAAGTCCATTTTCTGCAACTTAAAATAAATGTCTTAGGCAGTGGACAAGATTTTAACGCCTGGCGCTAAAAGTCCGATGGGGGTGGGGCCACTTTATGTTTAAAACCCAGACTTTCTACTTTGAAAAAGTGTTTTCCATGCAGCTGTGGACGCTCCGTGGCTCATCTGGACTGAATAATAGAAGTAGTGTGGTTGTGTACTGCCTTGGCGGCTGGACGGAGCAATAGGCCTCTTCAAGCAAGCTGCATAGACGAGAGATGTTACAGCAATGTTTCTGAGGTTGTGCCAGATCAGCCATAAAAGTATTTAACATAAGAAACTGGCTGTAGATCAGAAGGTACACTTACATCACTGAAAATATCACACACTGAAAATATTAGTCAGAACCTTGGCCTTGTTTAGGGATTGTCACTAATCACCATCACATATCAAAGGTTTATATTTTTTAACTTTAAGCAACATTTATCTGTTTTATATTAACATTACAAAGAAAAAAAAAGTCATAGCCATGAGGTGTCCAGGTAAAGTGTCCATTTTGTCAATTTGTGCTTGCATTGTGCCCTTAATCTGTGAGTCAGTATTAAATGAATGCTTTTTAATTATAATACCAGAAAGGTTTTAGATACCTTTGCATTCTGGACATCCGGTGTAGCTCCATATCATCACTTCCACGAAAGCCTTTAGCAAATGGGTTGTTCTCAATCTTTAGCTGAGTAATCTAAAACAACAATATTTGCAAGTAATCACAATAATAATGTAAACCCAACAAATGTCATTCCATTATGCGAGTTGTGCTGAAATAGCGTGAGCATGAATCATGGAGATCTGGTGGGAATATCCCTCTCTTGCACAGTGGTTTCTGGCAGGTAATTAGTTTGCAGGTCTGCAGCTTGCTCTCCATCAGGACTAGATCGTGTGTACGTTCTGGCTTACACTTCACCAGACCATATAAAATCCCTCGTGTGACACTTTGGGTGTGTCCTGTTAATATGGCATTATTGTTTTATCTTCGGGAATTAGCTACACTTTCTCCTTACATCGTTCCAACTTCCATATAAACCATGAGTGTTGGGAATGTGTTTATTCAAAGTTAGCTAGAAAGCTATTTTCTAATAGACTTTTAGTTGACACATAATGAAGTATTGTGACCTTTTAAACAAAACTTCTTAATTGACTTTTTAATTAAAACAATCCTATAACTTGACACCTTCCTTCTGCGTAGTGGAGCAGGTGAGCTGAACACGTGTCTCACATCTCTGCAGATGTGAGACTAAATAGACAATCGTGGTAAATCACAATTGCTTGTTTTCGCAAAGGTCTGGAAAGCCCCAATAATTAGCCCCGGGTTACGATGTTAGACCCCAATAACATGTTTGAAAATAATGAATGGTTTCTACAGAATGTCGGTCATTTGTGTTTCCTGTTCCCAGAAAGGCCCTGGCCTCTGATTGGCTAAGGAGATATTATGAGTATTCGCCCCTTTCCCATATTCCCTGAACTAAAAACATATAGGCCTTCATGGCCACATGATGTTAAACAGACACTGTTTACATTGCTTCTCTCACCGAGGCCTCTTTCAGACCAGTATTAGGAAAAATAGCCTATTTAGCAATATTTTATTGCTGCCTTGTCCGGGTCAAAATAATTATTATAGGGAAAATCAATAGGCTACTGGGCCTAGGCCACAGCGCACGTAGGTCTTAAAGACGCGCAGCTGCGCGCAGAAAAACGCACAGCGTGTTAGTACTTAATTTGCTTGTTTTAAACGTTTAAAATATATTTTAGGCAAGTTAAACGTATATTTTACCTTTTATAGTTATTATACTTTTTGTTATATTTATTGTGGTGCGTGAACTACTGTGTCCAATTAATTTCCTGATAAGGTTTATCTTAATAAATCAAGATAAAAATGTAAGCTAGTTTACTTTTCAGCAGTGTGAAGTGTTTATCAAAATGTCATGCGCAGCATGGATGGCACTGGTAGACCAAATACTACAATTTAAAACATTTCGCCCTAAGTAAAAACGGCGTTCTGCTGCGGTCCAACCTTCCCTACCTTGTGGTTCTGGTACGATGTCACGGCTATGAAAGCTGTCTCGGGAAACACATGCGTGCAGAAAGCCGTGTTTTTGGAACCAAACCCGTTGTTCTCGTCCGCTTTGACGATGTGGATTCTGGGCTGGTATTTGTGCATGGAATTCAGGATGATCTGCGGAGAATGCGCATTGTCTCGTCAGAAGCACGGCAAGTGTGAAGAAGTTCAAATTATGTTCTAATGAAATGGTCAATTTTACAGTGTTTTCTGATGTTTTTTTTTTTTTTTTTTTTTTTTTTTTACAAGCGGGTAGGCCTGTACTTATTTATGCTTTCACAGCTCACATTTACAACATGCTAGACCTATATATAGCCTATATATTTAAAACTTCAACAATGAATCTGCGAGTATGGAGACACTAAAACGTAAATATGTTAAGGTAAAACCCCTCTGTATATTCCTATTGTTAAAACTTGTTAACCCAATTTAGACAGCGCTCCTGGAAGACCTGAATATGGCGACATTAAGACGCTGTCTTCATTGAACTTGAACCTTGGACTTTTGTTTTGGGGCCCTCTCATCACAGCTTAAGTCTAATTATTTTGACGGACCTGGGGGCATATCTATTGGTTTGTCTTTCATAATAACCTATGCTGCATACAGACTCGTCACTCTGGCAGACGTCACTCTTTGCTGTTATCTGAAGGAGTGTTTTGTAGCTACTTTTCACTGACACAGGCCCTGCCTGACTCTGTTAGCTGTGGGTCTCAAAGTCAAATGAAACCTAAAAACTTAAACATAAAGACTGTTTTTTTATTGGGCAGAGAACTGATAAAAGTCTTCTTTTATTCATGCTGTTTAATGTGTTTTGCAATTATGAGTCAAGATTTAGGCATTGTCTAAAATGTTGGTCAGATAAATACTTTTAATGTAGGATATAATTTTCTGTTGCAGGGAAGATGAATATAGGCAGCTCAGGATAAACACGTTGAATGAAAAAACTGCTGAATAATAACCTTAAAATAAAAGTATCCTATATCAAATATTCTATATATCGTTCACACTTTGTTTGGTCCAGTATTTTAATGATGTGATTTGCTTAAACTTGCCATTGTTCATTACTTAGCAAAAAAGAGCTCCTTAATCCTATACAACAGTGGTCAGTATAAATCTGCCATTAGCTAAAATGTTGGACTTTTTCATCCAAAAATATCAGCCTGCATGACAGTGCTCAAAGCACAGCCTACGGTGTGTGTAAGTGAGGTGTTGCTGGACCACCCACTGCCACAGCCTGTATCACCCTCCAGTATAAATGATAGTATTCAGTGAGTTAGAGAGATCACTTTTGGTCTCAAGACACTGCCCTTTACTTTCAAGTTGGCCACATCAGAGACTTTTTCTAAGGTTTCAAGATTAGCCCGCTTTGTACACTATCATCTATTGCCCAGTGCATGCTGCCATTGGAATATAAACAGTGCAATACTGACACTCCACCCGGCTGGACCAACATGTGTGAGAAGACCAGAGCAAGCACAATCCAGTCAGAGATGAAGAACGCAGAGGAATATTCCAGGAGTGTAAATTGAGATCAAAGAAAACACTTCAACGCTGCTATGAGACTCCAACTAACCCACAATCTAATGTCAATGTTATAAAACAAAGCAGTTGTACTGTCATAGTACACATCCATATGCTCTGATATAAAATTCAGTCTGATGTGACCATCTGATGTTGTGCTAGGTGTCTCTCCACAATCTCATTTATCAACTAAATTATGGGGAAACATAACACACTCAGTATCACTGTGGACATAATGTGCAATAATCACTTCTAATAGATGTACTAATAGACATATATGTTCTTGTCATTTTCAGTCAGTCTTGATTTTTATCATCTAAATCATTTGTATATCTATAACCTATAGGAATTTATACATATTGCCATTGAATCAGAAGCCAAAAAATGCCCACAGCTGTACCACCAGCCCTCATCTCTCTATTCAGCCTGTCCCATGTCTGGTCATTTAGATGATTATGGTGATTTTAACATAAAATTTGGATTTGAAGCACTGCAGTCCTTATATGACATAAGTTATATGATATAAGTTAGACCTTATATGTCTAACTTTGGACCCTCATCAGTCATCTTTGTGGTTCCAAGCAGCTGCAAAGCTGAGGCCGATTCTGGACAGCCATTAGCAGGGTGTTGTCTCTCAGCATAAAGAGGCCAAACCAAATGCCCAATGCACCCAAAAATGCACAGTTTAGTCCCATTGTGCAATGCATTACACAAACTCTTTTAAAAACATCATAATACATTAGATAAAGCCTGTTATTAGAATTGCAGAAAACGTGTGCGTCTAGATAAAGCAGCAGGACGACCATTTACTTACTTTTAACTCATTGTGTATTGTCAAACCAATTGCAGCAAATATTAATATTATTAATACTATTAATATTTGTAGCCTACTTATTTCACAGTTTGAAAGAATGAAATAGAGGTTAATAACGATGATAATATAAAAGACAAACTCAAAAATAGAATATAATGTAGGCCTCTATATGAAATGTGTTCAGTTTGTGACAGTGACTAGACTACCACAGTTAATACCAAAATGCGGTTTTCATGTTATGTTAGCGCTACGAAATAATGTTGGCACTTACGTGTCCGAATGGATCCAGGTGGTTGTTGGTCAGTTTAAGTTTCTGAAAGGACACGAGCTGGCGCATCCAGTGGGCACCCGTGGCGGGAGAATCCGGGTGCACGTACAACCTACCGGGCATAGCGGGCTCGGCCTTCCCCGTCACAGACCTGAAAGATACAGGGGATACAAATGTTTTTAAGGCATAATGCTAGAAACTCTGTTCTTAACAGGTCTTCAGAATATTACATATATGGCTAACGGCAATGTGCGCTATAGATTGGCGTTAGTTCATCTAGTTCATCATAGGCTTTTGAAATTCATTTAAAAATAATTAATAGGCCTAGCTTCCTAAAAATATACATTAAAAAAATCTTATATATATATATATATATATATATATATATATATATATATATATATATATATATATATATATATATATATATATATATATATATATATAATATATATATAAATTTGTCACGGATCACAATGTTCACAATGCTCTGACCAATTTAAGTTTCAGGACGGGCTCTACATTTTATGTCATGTTTACGCGTGACACGCAACACAATCCTGTTGGAGTTTTAGCACTGACACTGCTGTTTGGGAAAAGTTACCAACTTTTCATTCTCTCTCTAATAATCTCAGAATGTAATTCTTGGCAACCGAATAGTAAACAAATAGTTCGCTATTTTGTGATTCGCATCTTTCCAATTTAAATCAATTAGACTATGAAAAAGTAAATTTACAGTTGAAGCCCAAAATAAACGCTATTATTGATTAAATACACAACGATATAGCCTACGTTACATTTTAGTAAGATTGATTCAAAGGACCTACAATTTACTCACCATTTATTGTCTGCGAATTTGTATCTGTGGTCATCCGCAGGTACAACGTCCATGAGCAAAATGTATTTAGTTTTAGGATTCAGCCCTGTGACCTTTACCTTAAAACTGGGAAACATTCGTCTGTAAAAGACGAAACATCTTATTAGTCATCAGAAATTTCCCTATAATGACGGTTGGTTACCGAAGTAGAACACCATTCACTCAAGAACCACTATGTTGTTCTGAAGTTTTGTAAATTATAAAACAATTTTCGGAAGTCAAAAACCCTTATGTCATAATGTGTTATTCCAGTAGGTTTTTTGGCGTATGAAATGTAACAGATGGGTTGCAAGTGTCAAAGCGCACAAAAACGACTTAAGAGAGACAATATAGACAATCTTCTTTTATGCCAAAACGATACTGAAGTGATTCAGGCGAGTTTAATTTGACTACATGTAGACTGTATCTCACTAAATAATAGATTATGAGCGTTTATGTAAAACTGTGCATGCAGGACCGCTTTAATACGAATGAACACTTGCGCAATTACGCATTTACGCACACTTCACACTTCAGCGATTGGGATTAAATGCGGCTACAGGACATGTACAGCCTGCTCCGAGCACAACGCGTCAAAATATGGAGATAGATTTTTGGATCACATGGTATCAAACTAAGCTCTTCAACAGTAATTTCCTATTCATGTTTTGACCAACCAAACAGCATATCACTGAAGCACTAGAGTTTACAATAACAAAATTGGACAAAAGGACAAAGAGTATCAATTGGACACAAAATAGTCTAAATAATAATGACCTTCCCGCTTTTGTGATGATCATCTCTGTTCCCACTTCATGAAACTTCATCCACAGCTCTCTCTCGTGCAGATACACTTTTATTCCTTCCATTCCCTAAAAGAAAGGATCAAATAAGACTTGAAAACATTCCATTAGCCTATATGTATGAACTTACATTTTTGTTATTTAATGCAATTCATTTTTAGAACGTGTGGTTGTATATTTTTCTCTATTTAGAGGAGCTTATACAGCCTAATCATTTTTAATTATATACTATATTTTTAGGTATCAAAACATTATTTAAGACAGAATAATAACAAAACTGAAGCAACTAGTCTATACAACTGAACTATTTGTCAAGTCTTACCGTTTGTTTTTACTGATAGATATGTTTTGAGTTTCTTTACTTTTTCTAACAATGACGTATTCAGTGATTGCATTCCAAATTAAAAATCCTAACAACAGCAGTATAACACATGGAAAAAATATTTCTGAACGTATAGCGCACAGCCACACACACACACAGAGTCTCACACACTGACCTGCTGAATATAGGTGGTCTGTGAGGAGGGGGACTTGGTTGTTGTCCCATTTTGTTTCTCATTTTTGTTTTCGCTTTGCACATCTCTGGAGTCCGAGCCACTGGGTGAATGTAGTGGACCAAAAGCTTCCTCTTGGTCCGCCATGACGGGGAACCGGGCCGTGTCTAAACTGGAGGATTGAACGAACAATTAGCGCCGGCTGTCTCTGCTCAAGGTTTACAATAAAATTAACATAAAAATTCACTCATAGCATAGGCTACACGTCTGTAAGGTTGTAGCCGGTGTGGTCATATAGGCCTAGCTTGTTATTAGTAGCCTAAATCTACAATTCCTTTGGATGTGCTGTTTTACGCACAACTGAAATAAAGTCCATAGAGTTTTTTGTTAATTGAAGAGGTCTATCTTGTATTTTCGTTCTCTTTGAATTACACTTAGCCTGTTAGAATATACAAAACCTGTCAACATTAGCAAAAGTTTTTCAAGTTGTGCCATCGATGTGTCTCCAACTCCTAAAGGACTTTTGCCTGCTCTCTATGATGCAAACAACATTGACGGTATGGATAAACATCTTACCGAAATAATCCCCAGATTCGGATGCCGTTTTACCCTTAGGTCACTAGTAAATTTCGCTACAAAACCTCGCAACAAAACCTCCAGGGCCGAGAACTGTATCCAGAAGATTTTTCAAAGAAGTAGGTTCCTTATCCCCAAATCCGTGTTCTTATGATGTCCGCTCAAGTTTCTGAATCACCGTTTCTCCTCCTGATGGCTAATGCACAACGCCTTCTGCCATATTGTGCATTTTGCGCCGTGAAGCGTCCAGAGAGCCTATTCCAGGCAGTGGGCTATAGTCCAGTCCCCGAGGAGTGCTCCGTCACCTCGTTGTTCCCTCCTCTCAGCTCCACAGTGCGTGTCAGTCCCGTTCTCTCTCCAGTACTGTCTTTACTGCGCATCAGTGAGCGGAAGCGCAGAGCAGACGTGTGGGGAGGGGGCGTAGGGCAGCGCTGGTGCCTATATTCAACTAGTAATTCCTTCCTGGTCCCCACCCCGCCTATGGTCCTCTCCTAAACGACTGTAATCCACCGGTGAGAATTGAGACGATGTGTTATTGTGTTATGCACTATTATACATCACGTCTGCTTTTGTGACAGGGCTTCACATTTGGCATCTCCTGTTCTTATTCATAAAAAATAAGTGAAATTTGTTGGTGAACCACAGAAGGAATCAGCAATACTTTTAGTTTTGAGATATCCTAACAAACGTCAATATGTATCAATGTATCAATAGTGTTTTTCTCCTCTCCTTAAACTTTTTTTTTTTTTTTCAAAGATAGTCCTATACAATGAAGTGGCACCATTTACACGCCATCAAATCAATATACGACGTGTACATAGATTATTGCCAGGCCCTAACTTAACGGTACGCGTTGTGTGAGTGCGTTGTAAAACTTTGTCTTAAATATATAAACAAGGTTAGTTGATGCATTCATCACTTTGACAATGTCTTTTTTTAATTTTTATTTGTATTTCTACTATGATCGCTATAACGCCTAATGCAATATTCAAATTGTTAAAATTTAGCCAAAAATACAAATGTGTTTAAATAAACTTCCTGCCCTATACTACTATAAAAAAATAACAATAAAACAGTTATGATAAAAACATATAGGCCTACTCTCTAAAGACATGTTAGAGCTTCTTTAACATTTTAAAGTACACAGTAAAACTATAATAGTAAAAATCTAATTTAAAAAAATGAGTCTTGGTGCTGCCATAAAAATTACATTTTCATTTAGAGGATTTTACTTTATGTCTAGTTCTTTGGTCAAACAGCATGCGCATTAAGTGTTTAAGTCTTCTTAAAATGTAGCATATAAAATGTTGATGAGCAGACATACCTATTCGTGATAGATTGCCACAGGTTTCTTTAAATTATTTAAGATAATAATAATAATAATAATAACAAATAAATAAAAATAAAAAAGATATATATATTTTTTACTTTTTGGACTTTTAAATGTATGTATATAGCCTATAACAATTAGGATAAAATCAAAGCAGCAAATGATCTTTAGAGCAACGCATATGTCAAGCCTTTCGTAACAGGCCAAGCAATCAATGAAATTTATAACTGATACAAATAAATTGATCTTTCTACTTCGACAAACATGTAGACCTCATTGAGTGTTACAATATATGTCCTTTATCAATAGACCTATGAAATCAAAGTAGCACAGACAATCCGCTTACCTCGTACTGCTTATAAATGTGGAGAAATCCTTGTTTGGACGTGTAAGTTCTTTAGTATTGAGAAGGCCTATATTCTAGTGTCAGTCCAGTCGTGAAGCAGGTGAAAATGCCGATGTGTCTAACAGTGAAGCAGCCAAAAGCTTGGATCAGGTAACAGCGCGCCCGGGTCCAGCAGCGCTAAAGAGCAGCTGTGAAAGTTATGGTTGAGAGGCCGTCTACAGCCCGGCTCTGAGGAGCTGAGAAGGAAGAGAAAGAAAACACGGGCTGTGCAGATTGTATTTTAGGTTAGAGCTTTTCCAGGTGCTACGAGATTATGGATAGACTTGAACTTTTAATAGGCTATTTTTTACCAACATAAAACGACGGTAACACATTTTTATTTTTGAGAGTGTGTGGCTCTGCCTCTTTCCGTCCACTGGATTTTTTGAATTCCAATTTAATACAATGAGCTGTACAATTAGACAAGGAAAGAAAACCCTATAGCTGGAACCAACACATAAGCTGCAAATAAAACAAGATGAGCCATTGTCATTTGGGCGTTTGTTTGTTGCTGGGTGACATATCCTTGAATCTCTCTCAGCTTGTGTGTATAAATATGGAGAGCGGTGGCACGGTTGGCCACACAAGGGCCTGTGATCTCGCTGTTCCCTCCTTCACCCTGAACCTCGTGAGTTTTCCCTTGTCCCACTTCTAAAGCTGTGATAAGTTATCTTGGCTGCCATGGGGATGCAGTGGTACACACATATTGACGCAGAGGAGGACCCAACAACCAACCTGAGGAGGCTATGGGCCCGGGTTGGATGGTGGTGGACCGGCACAGGGCCTTGAGCTGACACATTTCTGCTAACAATCACATCACACACGAGGACCGCATTCCAGCCTCCAGATCAGCCTCGTCTTCTCCCCCACCCGTCCCAGCGCTTCATTCACGGTGTTCCTCCTTTTTCCTTCATCAAATCTTATATAAATTGTTTGACAATTGTAGGCTGCCATTTAGCTAGCCTAAAAATAATTAAACAATTTAATATGTAACATTATTTCTATCGAGCAAAACATTTAAAGCAGTTTTTTGCACTATTGACTCCGTAAAGAGCCAGACATTATCGATTGAAGCCCGTGAGCTTTATGTCCTACACTCTGCCTCCCTCTAGTGGCACAAATGTCGCGTGCCTTTGAACCTTCTAGTATTTCGCTCGTCACAAGTAATGAAACATTTTCACTTCTTATATTAAATCTATAGAATATTGGCATTTTGCACGTGCCATCTTATTTAGACAAATGCGGGCTGCTTACCTTTTGTTTTACAAACAACTGACCATAAACAACTGCTTGATTTATGCTTTCATATTTTATTTGATGGCATGAAAGTATCTATAAAGTAGGGTAATCTGACTGAAATCCCTTGAAGAACGCCACCACGTGTCTTTCAGTAGCCGATATTTTTCACATTTGTCATGCATAAAAATACTAATTGCATTTTTCATAGAGGGCCAATTCATCAAGCAATCACTTTATGAATTCTGTACATGCAAAGGTCAGGGCCCCTTTGTTAAACATGGACCACGTTTTTTGTTTGTTTGTTTGTTTGATTTTTAAGAAAACATGGTGTTCTTCTTCTTGTTGTTAGGCCAGTGGCAACTAATGTTCAAGACACATTACTGCCACCTACTATGCAGGAGTGTGGGCCAGGGTCAAAAAGGGTTACAGAATTAAACCACATTGTGAATCATTATCCACAAACTGACGATACATGGAATGGTCTTTCAATGTCCTGACTGAGCCCATCAAAAACTGACTGACTGTTCCCAAATTAAGAGAAGAAAACTACAGAACTTAGTGTTCAATGTAAAACAAAATTTTACACAAATACTATTACTACTACTATACTGCTATAGACACATCAGTGGTAATAATGTCCATCAGAGAATTTGCATCACATCAGGAGTTGTAAATTCACCCCTGGAGACAATTTGTGAGTTTGATCACTATTGGAAAATTAAAAAAAAAATCTCTATTTGTGGAAGAATGATCGTTTTTTGCCCCATATGTATGCATTCCATAAAATTTATTTCATTAGTTAATGATTTCACAAAGATGTGTATTGACTTTTAAAATAGTAAGGAGAACATGATAACAATTTGCTTAATGATGAATAAAATAATCTTGTTAAAGGTGCACTATGTAACTTTTCTGCTGTATAATTCCCCACCTGCTTATCTTCATGGAGATGTCATTGCTTTGCAGGATATCATACATCTTAACATTAAAAATTACCGCTAGACCATGTTATAGATCAGATTTACTCAGTGTGTTTTTCAAGGTATTTAAATGGCAATTAAACACCTGCAATTGAATAAATGCAAAATAAATTTAATGTCCTATTCTAGAGCATTTCTGGCATAGCAATAACATCTCTGTGGAGACAAGCAGATATATTATTATATCGGACTCTCCACCAGAAAAGTTGCATAGAGCACCTTTAAATTTCAAATGAATTTTCTCCTTGAGCTGGATTGTCTTACTGTGTTTAGTTACAGTTTAGGGGAGCTAACATGCTGAAATAGAAAGAATTCCAAACTTAAAAAGAATGAAATAAAGGTATGGACACGAATGGGCAGCAGACCGTAGAAGTAATAAACCCGGGAAACATGTGGTGTGGTCCACTGCAGCCACATATTCAGATGTGGAGGTCTCTGCAGATCTGTGGGCCATCAGCTCGCACGTCCACAAGGTCAAACTTCTTAAACTCTGACAGCTTCAAAAGCACAAATTATGAGCCTGTCAAATGCAGAAATGCACAAGTAAATGGGGTATTTCCTTGGCCTTATTTTTTCAATCCCAGGCCTTGTACTCAAGGGGGAGTATAGCACATCAAACTAGTATTAAACAGAAATTCTTAATTTTGATTATTGGATTGCTCATGTTGGATCTTAATCATCTGAGTCACTTTAATGTAAATATCAGCTACTATGTATTCATTTATATTTTAGAGAGCATGCAGTCCTTGCATGCATGACCTTTGTTATTTATTTTATTGTATGCTGTTATATTTGAAAGGACAAGAAAAGACAAGATTGCATTTCATTAGGTAACCATTTTAAAATGCTGCTTGGGCAACCCAGGTAGTGTCCATGCACTCTCATTTAGGTCTTAAACTTGAGCTTGGCAACACAGTACTTGAATGATTCACCTGTATTTACAGGTTATCAAATACAAATGCATTAAAAAAGGTCCACTATTTGTCCAGTCAAAAATGAATTAGAACAGCATATACATTTTTTGAGGAGGAGTGCGTTGAAGCTGTGGGAGCGAGATAACTTGCGCAAAGTGAAATAACATAAACAACCTTTCAGCTCTAGGCCTTAGATGGAGGAAAAGCTCATAGCCATCTTTAATACAGTGAGGC